TGAATCGGTCAGTTGTAGAACTTTTTGTCTAGCTGCGTGTTCCTATGGGGTTATCTTCCGAGACCGGACAGTGACGCCCTTTTTTCTTCCATCTCAGCCTTTTTCCTTCTATATAAGTTTGACTTCTTTGACTGCCTCTCCTCCAACCCGCTATAAGTCCACTATCATGGACGTGCTTCAAAGTAGGACACATCGCCCTAATGGTAAGTGGCTCGCTGGTATTTCCTAGCTAGCTGACACAACATTCTGCAGCAATATCGTTTTGGATCAATTAGGTCCTGACGCGTATATCGCACACGCGGCGCTACTTGTAACGCTTTCCCTGCGTCGCCGCAAAGTGAACACCATTTCTTGCGCTCCGACTCCTCCGTCCACAACATCCAGCGAGACTCCTGCCTTGGGGTTGAAAGAATAATATCAACTCACTTTGAGAAATTCTGGGGCGTAATTCCATGGATTTTGAGCGTACTTATTCTTCGGTATCTCGTAAGCCAGTTGGTTCACTTGCTGAAAATCGCTCTTCATTCAGTGCGTCGAAGTCTACGGAAAATTCATGTTATCTTTGAGATAGGATACAAGAAAAGATATTAGTGGAAAAAATGTCTTCCTTCGAGTCTCCGCTTACTTTCCACTGTTTAGGAATAGTTGTCTTAATTCTGGAGCCCTGCTTAGCATGATGAAGTGAAATCGAGTTGGGATAACTGAATCCTATTTTAAATACTCGGCACTATTTCACTACGACTCGAAGAACCCAGAAAAAATTATTTTTGCGGGAACTTTGCCTGTAGAGGTTATTCGGTGCCAAAAGACGACAATTTGGCGCCACTATTTCACCGAAATCTGTAAAGACTTTGGAGTGAGACTTACATAATAGGGTTGTTCGAAAACTTGATAACAAATATGACACCAGCGCTATTCAGCGTTCTGTTGAGGCTGAGCCCAGGAGGAGCAGTGAATCCCTTCCCGCCATGCTCCGCCTTAGTAGAGTGAGCAGAGCGCGCATGACAAGAGTGTTCTACTTTAGCGCTGGCTCCAAAAATGAATGCCATATTCGTACTGAGGACACCAAGTAATCCTTGTGGCATGTTCTTCAAATTTTAGCAGAAAAGGGGCGAT